CCCATAATCCCAGCTCTATGGAGCAGTATCAGACTCATATTCTGACTAGAATTGAGTCGGACTACGTCAGGCTATCACTCTGTCAGCTAAAGGCACATTTTAGAGTCTCTATACTCCAGTTAACTAATCGATTAGTAATAAGTTGACGATGAATCTGATTGTTTCAGCCCAACACGGAACACACAAAGATATCAGCCATTAGGCATTAAAAGCACCAAAATCTGGTTAATAAAAATAAAAATCGGCCAACCAACAAATATTTCCACCTTTAAAGATCAGTTCTCCTTGCTTTGAACTGGATGATTTAATCTTTCTGTATGCTTAGTATAATATGAAGTTTTTTTCATTTAGAAAAGTCAAAGTATTGTGTAATAAACCTACTACAATTTGAGGAGCTCAAACTAAATTAGGGCTGCAACTAACCATTATTTGCAATTTGATTTTTTTTTTCTTTTGATTAATCGATTAATAAATCGGATAGTCAAAGTTTCCTTAAAGATTTTTTATGAAATTAAACAAGTGAAACTAAAAATTTCCACTTAAGGAGTTCTGGATTGCAGAAGAGGATTAGGACCACTGAAAAAATAAAAAAAAAATTAACTGATTTTTAAATATTATTTCAGTTTAATAAGGGGAAAAAAAGAAATGCGGACTTTTCTCAGAACTCCCACATTTGTCAGTGAAGCTGAGGGATCCCACATCTCTTCCTTCATGGTTCCCATTTACAATAAGATCCAAAATCCTCAGATTAGAGCCAGAATTCTGACTTTTTTCCAACATTAAACTGAAATAAAATTTTAAAATCAGTTTACTTTTTTTAGTTTTTCAGTGGCCTTCCATACTGATAGGGCAGATTGACAGATGAAAGTTTTTTTTTTCTAAAAGGCAAAATATTTATATATATATATATATATATATTTTTTTTTTTTTACAAATTTAGTATAATCAGTGCAATTGCTGTCAGCTAAATGCATCTTTTAGAGCCTCTATTCTCCAGTTAACTATTATTCAAATACTAAATTAGTTGATTATTTCAATATTTTTTCAATATTTCAATATTCAATATATTTATTGAATATTTCAATATTCAATAAATAAATAATTTTTTCAGCCTTAAATTAAATAAAACCTGAAGCTTGGATGTTTAGGTTTATGCAGATGAAAATACTATAAGAAATGAAAATGTTATGACAGCTGTACAAAACGAAATTTCTAATTTAAATTAGAAATTTAAAACGAAATTTAACAACAAAGTTTGTCCAAGTCTAAAAGAAAAGATGCAGGATTTGATGAAGGCTGTGCATTTAAAAACTAAATAAACTAAAGCAATGACCATGTTTTCTGTTTGGATTTCTTTATATGGAAAAGGCAGATGAAATACTTTTAATATTTTCTGAGAAAACAACCAAACAGATAAATAATCAGACTAAAGCAATAGTTTTTTAAATGTTAACCAGCTAGAGGTTTTTTGGTTTGGTTTAGCTGGAACTGCTTCCAAAAAGTTCAAATTTAGAGGAATTAAATCCTGAGGAGGAACAGACCAAAGCTCTGCAGCTCATCCTGAGATCCAGCCAGGAGGCTGCAGGTGTACCTCCTCACTGAAGCTCAGCAGGAAATTAAATAAAAAATAGTTTCTGCTGAATAGTTGAGTTAGTTGGCAGAAAGGGGAGCAGATCTGCAGCCTTGCAGCAGCTGAGTGCTCCTCGCCATGGAGTTACTTTTCCAAAGGTTGTTCCTAAGTTTAGGTGAAGGCTGCATCTCCAGGCTGAAGGCAGCGAGCAGCTCTGCGGCCACATTTCACCGCTCTGCTCCCGGTTCTCCTGAACCAAGCCGCCGCTCTGCGACAACCTCAAACTAACCACTTTAATCAACACCCTTATTAAAAAAAAAAAAAAAAAACACTCACCAAAACAAACATTTAAAAGTTCCAGAAAAGCCGCGTGCGCTCACTGTGAAGCGGAATGAAGCTCCGGCCGTTTCTCAACAACGTCCAGCGTTGTTAAAGAAGGTCAGGCAAAGCGGACACAACAAAACATCAGCCTTCCTTCTCTCTCCTCTGAGGAACCACAGCGACGGCGGCCATGACAGTCCATCCGGGTACTCCGTGCTCCTGACACTCATCTAGTCGCGGATGAATACGTAATGCAGGTCTAACGTTAAATTAGTGCCACGGAGGATATTTTTGTTCCGCCATAAATATATAAAAACACATTTCGGTTGAACATAAACGTAATTAGTTGAAGCCGAATCGGTCAACCAGCTTTTCCATCTTGTTACACAACACCTTCATCCCCTCTGTGCGTGTGTGTGTGAGTGTAACTGGGTGTATGAGTAAACAATGCTTAGTGAGGGCGGAAACGCGTTCCCCTCAGCTGGACTCGGTCAGCTTCAGTATAGTATTATATTCATTCAATAAATCAACTGTAGTCTTTTATTCTGACAATTATTGGTGGTTAATTTATTGTTTTTTTCCAGTCTTATTCGGTTTTACATGGGCGCGTGCGCACACTCACCACAGACACGGACAGTAATGGCGGACGCACCGCTCTGCCTGTTCATTGTAGGCGATAAGTAATCATGGAAAGTGTTCCCCAAGCACGTTGTTAGCTCAAATGACATCAGAAGATTAGAACTATAAGGAGGCAAACATCAAGGTTCGGTAGTTTGTATTCTTAATTTCAAGTCTTTAAACAGATTATTTGATCAGTCATTGCTTCCTGTAATGTGTGTTACATAATAATAAACTTAAGATGTCACCTCAACAACAAACTGCTGTCTGGGATCAATGATATGGCATCTAACCTTCAACAGAAAACAATCTTATCTCTGGGAGTCTAAAGTGTGGAGATAAAGTCAATGTTCCATCAGTATTCCTCAAATTAGTTCAAAATTATAGACGGAGGGAAATCATATTTGAATGTCAAATCATATTTGAATGTCAAATCATATTTGAATGTCTGGGTTAAACATGTATATAAATGTACTCTTTATCAGAGGATATTGTCCCAAAAGTTAGAACATTTCTATTTAAAAAAAAAAATCCTGTCTTAAAATCTGTGGGGTTTTTTTTCGTTATCTTCTGCAGGCCAGTTAGTTATACGTCAGCCTGAACACCTAAATTCGGCCAATCATATATCAACGGTCATCTGTCAATCACATCTTTTTTGGCCATAGCATCTTGAGTCATGTGTTGCAGCTAATATACGCAACGGTTGAAATAAGAAATAAGAATTTCCCATTGAGTTCCGTCCCAGTGTTCACTTCAGTGATCACAGCTGCTAACTGGTTAGCAAGATGCTTCCGACAAACCGGCCACAACCAAACTTGCTTGCGAACCTTCCACCACAACAATCCCGCCTCCTTGATAATCGACCGATCACATTCACTTTATTCGGTTGGAACAGCCGCTTCCCTACGACTTTAAACTGACAACCAGCACTTTAGACAAATATTCCAAATGATTAAATGAGTTAGTGAAGATTCTTACCAGTTAATACATGTTAATGATGTCCTTGCTATAATCTTTTCCTGGGTAGACTGTTTATTTCAAGATTTAGTCTTTGTCAGGTTACCCTAAACTGTAATTTAATGTTTTAGTTTTAAAAGGAAGAGGTCATTTTTCCATCCGGTTTGAGCCAAGAGAATCATCGTCCATCACTAAAGCATGATAGAATTTCACTAAGATAACCAACGCAGAATGTACACAGGAAAAAAATACAGTCAGAGAAAATTTGCTTCTTTAGAAAACACCACGAGAGGAAATAAAACTCCATCCGAAGAAAAACTGGAAATGTAATGTTAGGTAGAGGCCTCCTGCTAACCCCTGCTGTTCTCACCACACTCTAAATAATCATTCAGGGAAGCTCTTACAAGCATCTAATGAAATCCACAATTGCAAATTAAAAAAGGGTAATTTATTGTTGAGGCTCTGCTTAGATCCTCAACAATTTCAGACTGTTAACATTGTCTGCTCAATAGATGGACAAATAGAAATTCTACTAAAGTAATGAATAAGTGATGAATTGGGATATGACCATTAATGTACTACTACAAGCTAACAACAATCCACTGGACTTTGTTTCCAAGTTTGAAGACGTTTTGCTTCCTATCCAGGAAGATTTTTCAATTCAAAATGTCAGAAATAGCGTTGAGTTCCAGGTTTTACACAGTAGCCCAACAAAGCCTTGTTTTTGTTTAGAGAACATGCAAATTGAAGCCTTCGAACGGGTCCACCCCTTTGGAATGGGGGTCGTTTGGCTTCTTTTGTTAGCCTGCAATGCTCCGTACCTGTCTATGTCTCTGAAAGAAGGGTTGTTAAAGGGACTCGGATTTTAGGTTTCAAAAACGTACAATGTAGCAATTGAGTTGATCCCTTCCCGCTGTCATCGCAGCCCCAACCCCTTTACAGGGGATCAGAGGACCTGGCCTTTTCAGCCAGGCCTTTAACGACCCCCCTTTCAGAGACATAGACAGGTACGGAGCATTGCAGGCTAACAAAGTAGCCAAACGACCCCCATTCCAAAGGGGTGGAGCCATTCGTCCGTTTCAATTCGCATGTTTTCTAAACAAAAAGAAGGCTTTGCTTTGCTCTAATCTATAAAGCCTGGAACTCAACGCTATTTCTGACATTTTGAATTGAAAAAGCCTCCTGGATGGGAAGAGAAACGTCTTCAAATAAAAAAAAAAACAAAGTCCAGTGGATTGTCTTTACGTTTTTTTGGAATGAATATGACCAGGATGACTGAGAATCTTCACCAGCATCCTACAAGCTAACGTAAGTCATATATATTGCAGGGGAATTTGGCCTTTCTACCCTCTAGTTCAGCATAGCAGTGGATAATTATAACAGCTGAGAGGGATTAAACACAAAGGGTTTTGTTGTTATTTTTTTATCTTTATATTCTTGCTCATTTCTTCCAATGTTGCTTTTGTGTGTTTATCACATGCAAAATGAAAGAAATTAGTTGAGCATATTTGGATTGTAGATCACTGTTCTTACTATTATGAAACAAAGTTTCTATTTTTCTCCGTCTTAAAGGATGCATTACATTTACATTTACTGAAGATGTAAAGATGTGTTTACTATCATTATGATCCTGTCAGTGTCACCCAGAAGTCAGCTGATAAAATGAAAAATACTGCTTTCAGACTAATAAGTAAAACAACTTAGTACATTTTTAGTTAGTAGTACATTTTTATTTATCAAATTAATTAAATTTTCACTGCTTTATTTACAATTCACAACACCTGTCACCTCAAGGCACTTTACAATGACTTATTAGCTAATTACAAATTATAAAGCTATGCTTATGCCTGGCATATTATGTGAAAAAATGTGCAGAATCCCAAATTATTGCTGCTATTACAGACAAAGATGGCCATAAGGTATACAAAAATAAATTAATAAGTATTTTTTTAAAGAATTTTTATAAAAACTTCCACTCTTCTGACCAAAAGTGGAGCAAGGGCAGCTCAGGGACAACTATTTTGCTCAAATAGATTTACCACATCTGTCAGAAGAGCATAGAACTCCCTCAATAGCCCATAATTAAAACTAAAGTAGCTATCAAAGCGTTACAAAATGGGAAATCGCCAGGCTCTGACGGATTCTTTTAATTTTCAAGATATTCTTGTAGATCCTCTTCTAGACATGTTCAACCACTCCTTTTCTACAGGAGTATTCCCACAGACATTGAAGGAGGCAAATATATCTTAAATCTTAAAAAAGGGGAAATGTTCTGACTTATGCGGATCCTATAGGCCCATAGATCTCCTAAATGTAGATAGGAAGCTGCTATCTAAGATCCTGGCCAACCGGTCGGAAAAGTTTTTGCCAGCATTGATAAAAGAAGACCAGACCGGTTTTGTAAAGGGTCGGAACTTAGCTTCCAATGTAAGACGCTTGTTGAATGCTATCCTAGCTTTCAAGCAGGAATCTATTAATAGTCTGGTGCTTTCTCTAGACGCAGAGAAGGATTTCGACTGAATGGTCTTTCTTACTGTATACATGGTAAAATTTGTGTTAAAAAATGGGTTAGGATTATATGTACTAAACCACAGGCAGTAGTTTTAACTAATGGACTCAAGTCTGAATACTTTAATACTCATGGGGGGTGATGCAGGGCTGCCCTTTATCGCCTCTCTTATTTGTTTTGGCTATAGAGCCACCTGCAGAGGCCATTAGGACGACACCAACAATACGTGGTTTGGAGACTGGACAGCTGTGTCACAAAATAACCTTTTATGCTGATGTTGTTCTAATCCTACTAACTGACCCTGAAACTTCTATACCAGGCCTGCTCAATTTAATTGACCGATTTAGTCGTTTCTCGGATTATAAGATTAACCTGGCTAAGTTGCCACTTAGCATCTTCTCAACCATACCATTTACTACACCCCTGTTTCCTTTTAAATGGTCTCCTAATGGGTTTGTGTACTTGGAAATCATCCTTTGATCAATTATATAAAGCCAACTTACCCCCACTATTTTGTAAAATTAAACAGGACCTAGAGCGATGGACGTCCCTTCCCATTTCCTTCCTGGGACGCATTGCTCTGGTCAAAATGAATGTCCTGCCTAGGTTATTGTATCCTATCCAAAAGATTCCTGTGTTGTTTTCTAAGCGGGTGTTGAAGGATATAGATGGTTGGCTTAGCGCTTTCATCTGGAGAAAGCACAGATCCAGGCTTAAAATGGCTGTGTTACATCAACCAAGCACAATGGGCGGCTTAGATCTACCTAATATTAAAATTTACCAGCTTTGTGCCCATTTGAGATTTGTACAAGAATGGGTCATGGGTAAAACCTCAACTTGGATGGACATTGAGACAGAACCATCACACTGTAGACTAAGCGACCTGTTGTTTTTTTAATAATTGTACGGAAATCAAAACCCTTTGTGCAAATCCGGTACCAATCAATACTCTAAAAGCGGATTACCCGGCGCCTTGAGAGAAGATCAAATAACACATCCATTTTTACCCCAATAATAAATAATCCTGCTTTTCTCCCAGGTTTCTCTGATCCTGGTTTTCAACAATGGTCTAACAAGAACATAAAATCCCTTAGTGACCTATTTGCAGATCATAAGCTAATGTCATTTGAACAGCTTGCAAACATTTACAAGCTCTCCAAACAGGATTTCTACCGTTTCTTGCAAACAAGGCATTATATAACAGCACAAGCCTCATTGACCACCCTGAAACATCTGCTGTTGATAAAATTCTGTTTAATCAACAAGTGAAAGCGTCTCTTAGCTCAGTTTACCATACACTGAATGGAGTTTCAG